AAATTTTAAATTTTAAATTAAAATTTTAATTTTTAAATATAAATTAAGATTTTAATTTTTTAAAATCAAGATTTATACGTAATAACATTTTTTATATTTAATATTTATTTTAATTAATATTTTATATATTTTAAAATAACAAAATCACATTAAAATTAAAAAAATAAAGTACTAGTAAGTGTTGTTAAAGGAAACTTTTAACTAACTTAATTATTGTTTATTTCTTATTATATAATCTAAAATAAAAAATAAAAGCAAGATAATTTCTATTATAAGAGCAATAATTTGAGTAAGGATTGAAATTAGATATTGTGAAAATCTTGACCCCGTTGATATTTAAGTTCATGTGGAACCCCCAAAATTATTGGTCGAAAAAGTTTTGACCTACAAATCTAAAATTTCCTTTTTCAAGCAAAATCAATGAGTTAACAATGATTTTGCAAATCATTTGAAAAAAAAAAGAAGAAAAAAAGAATGAAAAGGAGAAATTTCAGGAATTATTGTGATTGAACTTGATAGCTAATCCAAATCTTCAATAAAGCATGGAAATTACACTAATATAGCAAATTGGAGGTTATTACCTTAACTAAAATAGTCATAATCTTCAGAGAAATAAATCAAATCCTTAACATAATACAAAAACCAATAATCCCCCACATCTTCTTTTTCTCCCAAGAAATTACATTCAACAACTTGTGTCCCATGGAGTCCTGTGCACGAATGGTTAAGACTTTTGTCTCCTTTTTGCTTCTTTCCTTTCTTCCTATGATATGATGTTCTTTGATTTTCTTAATGTTGTTCTCTTGCAGAATTGTGTCCTGAAAGTGGATCTCAACTGCGAGACATGCAGGATGAAGGTGATGAAAGTGATGCAGGCTCTCTGTGGTATGAACTTCTTTTCATTTTCTGGACTTTTAAGGCTGTAATAACTTTGAAAATAAAGATTAGTTATATTCATTTTTGTTAAAGATTATGTCTTTTTTTGTTGGGGGGGTTTAGGAGATTATTCTGTGTCCCTAGATGGAGAAAAAGGAATGGTGAATATTTCAGGCAGGGTAATTAATCCAAGCATGGTTTTGAGGGTATTTGACCAATACAACAAACATGGAGAGGTGCCAAGTGTAAAGTTTAATGATGAGAGGCCGGGGCCTTATCACTATCCTCATGGAGTATATGGTTGTTCATCATATCCACTAATGGGAGGACCAGAACTTCCATGGTTTGGTGGTAGCAGCTACCACCACATTCCGCCACCAGCACTGCCAATACATCCACCACCTCCACCATATCTCATGGCTCCACCACTGGGTGCACCTCCAGGGCAGTTGAACCCTGACTATTGTACCATGATGTGAAGTGACAAAGTAGGCCTTGATTTTACTTCAGGTTTCTTACTTTGCTACTCTCTTGTCTCCCTGATTTTTTTGCAGGGGTGAATGTTGAGAATTTTCTGTTTCTGAGCTTAGCCTTTGTCAGTAATTACTAATTGTTAAACACTGATTTTGGGATAAAGATCAAAGGTTTAAAATTTTCCTTTTGATGCTATTCATACTAAAAGTTGAAATGAACCAAACAAAAAAAGGCAAAATTATTGAATTGGATTTGGCTTAACGTTCCAGTTCATCCTTATATATCATCATTGTCAGTCCATATCATTGATAATGTTTCTTGAAGAGGATGTAACTTGGAGTTGCAGAATCTGGTAGAACTTGTACAGCTTGTACCAGATTGGTACCTTCAATCAGTATGTGCTACAGATGCATAGATGGAATGTAGCAGCAGTTTGATGAGGTTTGTTAAAATGTTATTTTTCATCAATTAATCATCGAACTTGGGAGAACATTTTTTGGAACCTAGTGATGGAGGACAGCTAGGGTTTCCTTGTTATTGGAGTTGTGTTGTCCATTTCTTCAATTCATCTCTCCCTGTCAACTTCCTTCTTGGCAATCTGCTGGTTACCAACAGATGAAAGTTTTGCTTTCTTGGCATAGATATTTCTCCAATTTATCAAATAATTGGAATGAGATCACATAAACAATGTTCCATAGAATAGATTTTTCTCAATTTATCAAATAATTGGCATGAGATCACATAAGCAACGTTCATCCAATTCTGTTGTTTTCTTTCTTTGCTCCCTTTTCCTATACAATCCAAAGTTTCAAGGGCCGTTTTTCTCTTCATGAGTTTTTTCTCATACCCCACTTCAGAATTGATCATACATTTGCATTATTCATGTGGGTTTTAATCATGCATCTAACCCCTTGTCTTGTTTTCCAAGTTCCTACCTGCAACTTCTGATATGTTGCATTCAACTCAAATAATTTCTATGAACCCAGCCGACTAAGTTACTCTGTCCATGAAGATTAATCATGCGTATTCCTGATTGAGAAGTTCAGATTTTAACACCCTACCTGTTTCATCACCCAATACCATGTTCTGAATCATGCAATTTGATCTGTTTTTTTCTGAGTTATTGGCACTGCTGTTTTGTTTCATACCAAAGAATAGGACTACATTAGTCCAAAAATCATTACTTAAGGGTGGCACGGGTGGGTAAAGTTCACCATCAAAATTAGGGTCCTTCTGGATCGTTCTCCTTTATTGATGTGCTAAGGTCATAACATGTTGCTTCAATTTCACATTCAAGAGGAGGGGACCCTCCATCTTTGTAATGTAAAGGCACAGAGAAGGATGAAAATGAAATCTCCTCACTTTCTCTCCACAAGTGTAAATAGCTCATTTATTTTCACTAAATGACGACTTTTTCTGTCCCTCTCACCTATGGAAGAACAAAATTTTATGTTCTTTTGCTGTAATAGTACTGCTTTTTAATTAGCCATTAATATTTTCTTGGGATATAATTTTCAATGATTTTACTATAAATAATTTGTCTTTAATTAAATTGAGAACGTCTAATGTCATGATATAAAAACCAAATTTAGTTATATCAAGTAACAGGAACTAGAATCATTGCTTTCATTTCTGGCAAAGCAAAAAAAGGCATATTGAATTGATGATTGTGAGAAAAAAAAGTTTGAAGCTAATCTGTAGAGGCAAAAAGAGATGCCACATGGCAATTGAAATTTGGGGACCCCACTAATCAGGAAATCAAAGGTGATGAGTTGTGACACGTGTCATAGGGCTAGGATGAAAATAGATTGAAAGTGGATAATATTACATGAATTTCTTTGCTATGTATGCCTGAAAGAAGTAAATCCCTAAATCTTCCTATTTTACTTTTGTCTTGCCACATTATGTGGATATGGGAATAGGAATGGTAGGGGCATGTCTTGGTTGTGACCACTAATATTAGTCCTCTCTTTGTTGGGTGCTTTCTTGATACTTTGGAAGGTAACTGAAAGGATTATTTTTATACGAAGCAATAATACAATATACATCCTAACAGTTAAGAGCTTGAACTTGTTTGTTGGAAGTCTCGAGTTTGAATTATAAGATGGGAGGGGACGGTTTGGCAAAGGGGAAGACATTATTTTTTATTGTATAGTTTATCATCAAATGTAACAAAAAATGATACAATATACAATCGGTCTTTTAATCACAGTGGAAGGTATATCTTAGGTATAAAGACAGGAAAAATAATCATTATCTGATATAATTATTTGCAAACTAAGTTCCAACTTCAATGGGGAAAGTTTGCAAATGTTGAAATGTTAAGGAGAATCTTAGAATGGAAGACAAAGGTGATTAATCTATTAAGTTTTGTCTTAATGTATTTCAGTAGATTTTGACATTAAAGCAAATCATTACCCCTCTTAGTTTCATATGTGTCTTAAATGTCTGAAATCTGAAACACTGAATTAATTTTCTTAAATTTACTTTTTACCTCTTTTAAATCCATCAGTTTATGAAAAAGACTTGATAAATTGCAAGAACCATATGTTCAACATGGGTAGAAAGTGTCATTCACATATGTATTATTTAAATCCAACCCATTAATCCTATGAATCCACAAGTTTTTTTTGATTGGCTGGCTTGAAATCAATCAGATTATGGATTAAATTACTCAGAAAATTCAGATTATGAACATGCAAATTTATGGATGTTATTAGCATATTAAAAACCATTAATTAACATAAATAATCTACATCAAGGAAATAGAGAACAAGAATATTTGGGAGCAGAAGTTCAGCCTCCCTCACAAGAAGGGGCAAAGTAACTAAATTGAAAAGAAAAGGCAAAGGGAAACACAAATGAACAACATTACAAGAGAGAAAGCAGCTAGTTTCTGTGTACATAGGAAGAGAAAAGAGAATTTTTCTCTGCAATTATAACAACTAACTATAGAGTCAGGTGGAATTACTCCAAGATGATCATTAGACCATGATCAGTTGTTGTCGAGCTTCGATCCTTAGTTCTTCCTTCTTCTTTCTAATGAATTCATCAAACTTTTTGTTTAATTCTTCTGTACTTAATAAACCATTTCCTTCCTCCCTTACTTCTTCTTCTCCTTCTTCAACTTCTTGTACAGTACCATAGCTACCTTCAATCTCCTTCACCTCTTCTTCTTCAGAAAAATCTTCATTTTCATCATCTTCATCTTCTTGTTCTCCATCTGGGATTTGAAATCCTTCTCGTTCTTGTGTTTCTTCTTCTTCCATGAGAAACTTGTGATCAGTTTCTCTGTCTGCTACCTCTTCAATTATGTATTTATTCGCTGTTTCTATTAGACTGCCATTTTCTGCCTCCACCACAGCTTCATTCTCCAACGATGGAACTTGTGATTCCATTACTATTGTCTCAGAATGTTGAACATCCTCATATCCCAGGAAAGACTCATCAGCATTATTATGCTTGGATGAAGATGAACTGATTAAACCTGAGAATTTTGCAAGGAAAACAAGGAGGCCATTACATAGGAGGAATATGCAGTTTTTGTCTATGTTGTGGGTTATTAACTTGAAAGGGAGAGTCTGGAAGTAGAATTTGAAGGAATGGAGCATAGAGATGCAAGATGAATGAGAAAAGAAGAGGGAAAATACAGAAAGAGAGAGTAGCAATTTGGTAAACTTTCTGAGAAACTGAGATCTTATGAACTGCCTCAAAATCTGCAGTTTCTGGTGCTCAATTTGATCCATTTTTTATCACTCTTTAATGGAAATTGGCACTTTTAAGGAAGAAATGAACGAAGGAAGAGAGATAATGGTTTCAACTTATAAGGGATTTGTGAGGTTGGTGTGCCAAAAAACAAAAGGAAAGCCTCCTTATATAGGGATATCATATTGACTTGAGTATGATTGAAGCGGATTGATTTTCCAAAAGTACCCTTGTTTTTCATGCAATTTTGAATTAGACATCCATTTTGTATGGACCTTTCACCTTATCCTAATCAAGCTGTGTCTAGCACCTATTGAACAGTTTGAATTTGAATGCATTTAACTAATGTGTGTCCTTAAAAATTTGAAGCTCCCTCCATAGTCATGTCGTTTTTACACACTTAATCTCGAGTCCATGTAACATTGGAAGAAGATATTATCCACTAACCAAGCAATTCCATGCTTTGAAAATTTATTTGATATGATATCAACATTGAAGTTGCCTCATGGAAGGGGCAATTCTCACTTCCTTATTTATGTTGAACTTTCTAGATGCCAATCTAATAGGTAGGAGTTATCTTCTCTGATTAACAATTTGAAGTGGACTGGTTTCTGCAACTCCAAAATTAGAGGTGGCATTCATTAGATGAAGTTGGGACCAGAAACCAATTTTGAAATCTCCTCCTTTCTTTAAAGTTTTGGGAGTTAATATGGATAAGACTTAAGACCTTTCCCCCTCACAGCCGGCACCATAGATCTTCAAAATTCTATTTTTATGGTTCAAAACAATGATCATAATAAATAGCAAAATGCTTGCATGATTCTTAAGGGACCCATATATCATAATGCATATTCCACAATTTTCTACCACACCTTGCTTCCTTTCTTTTTTGGGTTACATCTAATAATGCGTTATATAAAAAAAAAATGATTCTTTTCTTTTTTTTAAATCTTTTCTTTTTTTTAAATCTTTTCCGACCTAACTTAAAATTTAAATGTAAGACCTCTAATTTAGAATCTCAGATTCTTAACCAATTAAACCACCCCTTAGGGAGCACTTTGTTTCCTTTCTTTTTCTTGATGCAAGGGGCCTCTACAAAATACCTTCTAAATTGGTAAATTATTGTTGCTTTGATCAAACTAAATCAAACCCATAAAAGAGCCAATACCCAAACAAAGAAATGAGTTTTCTTTATTGAAAGTGTCTTCAAACCCTGGTGAAAAATATGATTTAAATCCTTGGAAGGGAGAGTTTGCTTAGCTGAGGGGCAAAGCAGTGGTCCTGGGGAAGTTATGTCCATGAACAACACGGCGAATTTTGTTCTAAGTTTCAGAAAATTCCTTTTGTTTTCTTCTGATTTTTTTACCTTTAACTTTGTTCTTTCTTCTTACTTTAAAGTGACTTTATTACTTTGCCTAACAACAAGCACCTTTGCAAAAAGTTTTCTGCACTTGAATCCAATCAAGTTATAGTCTATTGAAAATGATATCAGAATATTTCAAGACACGTTATCATATTGGAGTTGGTGTTCATGGCAGACATGAGAAAAAGATGATATTCTTTTCTGAATTTTATGGAATCGTGGGGTTAATTCAGTTAGTTCTTTAACTAACATCCAAGTGCCTAATGATTACATTAATGCTTTACTCAAAAGGGTAAATTCTAATTAAATTCAAAATCATAATCATGATGTTCAGGATCTGTTTGGTAAGAAAGATAATGAGACCCAAAAAAGGGAAAATGATATAGAGATTATCTTTTTTATCATCTTTTTGTATAATCTTACATATCATTTAAATGATTGGTTCTTTTTATTTATTTGAAACATGTGATATTAAATACATCTACTTATTTAATGACACATAAAAATTATATAAAAAAAATAATACAAAAAAATTATTCCTATATCACCACCCCAAAGAAAATGCCCTTTTATCCATATTTATTTATTTATTTATATACCAAGACAAAGTGGCTACTTAGATTCTCAAAGTGAAAAGCCATGATTTTGTGAATAATATAAATGTTGTCTGGAATATATCAATGAGCTATACATAAACGTGTTCATAACTTGGCTGAATAAACTTTGCCTATTGAGGAAGTAATTTGCCCTCAAAGGGTTATATATAGTCTGGAATTTATCAATGAGTTAGATAAAAATTCCACCTTGAATCTTGGATGGGAGGTACACTTCTGACAAGAAGGAAAGTGAGTGAACGGATAGTGCTTCAATCTCGAATTTCACTCCTCTTTGCAGCATCAACTCTAGTTCCGACCTTCATTTCCAAAAGAGTGAAAAAGAGCAGAGGCACCACTTATTCTTTACTATATATACTTCAAATATAAAAGCAAAGTATGTGATGCCACATTAATCTACCTCCAGCTTGGCACTTCCCGGTGCAAGTAGCATCTGAGTAGCATGGCTTCAGTTTTCCTCTTATCTGTGAAAAATGGAGTTTCACACCAGTAGAAATAGGGATAAAAGACGTAAGGGACTATCTTAAAGATGCCATATTCAAAATTTATCTTACCTTCCGCAGTCAAAGGAAGGAGACAGCGCTGGGGAAGGTTGTATTTCTCAGAATCGGAAGGAAAGGTTCCAAGCCAGTGTATGTTTGGGACTCGTAGAAATTTTGCATCGTAAGCCATTTGCTTACAAAGTAGATACAGTTAGACCAAGAAATATCCACATCATAATGGTGACTGAAAACAGCCTTTGCTGCCTCAATAATTATAGTCTATTTTGTTTTTGCTTAAGTAGATAAATTCGAAGATGACAAGAAAATAATGTGTTCAATCAAGAAGCCTAACCATAGAACCAAAGCGATATGTTGCTAGGATGTCAAAACCATAAGGATCACAATCTACCAAGCAATAGACAGGCAGACGTAACTTCTCAGTGAGGAGTTGCAAAAACCTAAAAGAGTAAAATGGCATACATTTACATGTCAAAGAAAGATTCCAAACACATGAGATTGGCATAAATTCCTATAGACAGCAGGGCATATTTTTCAAACCTTCTTGTTGGAACATCTGGATAGCCTCTTCCCTGCCAAAGTATTGTTAAGAGAAATGAAGTCCTATTTAAATAAATAAAATAAAAATGAAATCACATTTCAAGCTAAGTTTTCCACTTAACTGTGATGACAATACAGCGGTTTGTCTTACAAAACTGATCATTTGCTAAACGCTGAAAAACTGCATGACAAGGATTAATAATGAAGATTTAGTAAAATAAAATTTTTGTTTAGATTACTGTTGAACCATTGGCATTCCAAATTGAAGTTTACCTGATTCTTTCTCCACAACAAGTATGTATTGGGCAACACTAACAATGTCTGCATCAAAGAGTGAAGGGAAACTTATTCCTGAACAAATCTGTCTTCTAGATTGATGGCATGGCACTCAGGACAAATATATCATATAATATCCAATACTATCCATTTAACTCCCAATTTTCTGGATACCTTTGACATCCTCAACAAGCACTGGAATTGGGTGGACCTGCAAATGAATCAGATATAAATCCATGAAAATGAGTCAGATATTTAGCAACATATTAAGAGAATGATGCCATTAATAAATATATTCCGCCATCCTTACAGTGTTTGGACTATTCATGCAATCAAATTTCTTTCCTGCTTCTAGGAATCTCAACCATCCCATCACCAAACTATATCACAAACACACAGATGAAAAAATAGATTAGGATATAAGGATAATCTATACAGCACCTAAAGGTTGATGAATGTCTAAGAAGTGGATAACTTTAGAAAGAGGAGAGTTAGGTTGTTAAGACTAAAGAAATATTTAAATATAAATGTTAAAAATGTCTCAAGTTCCAAATCCAAGCTCCAAAACCATTCATCCCGACAATCAAAAATGAGTTTCAAACTTTGTTGTGCGTTCAAAAAACCAATGGGTACAAAATTAGCACATAACAAAAATTGCTTGAAATGAATTATTTAATGCAAAAATTTAAGAGCAGTAACAAAGACTCTTCCCACAACTTTCTAGATTTGAATGCAAGCTGAAATACTCACCCATTTCCAACTGGTACCTGCAAGAATTCCATTTGAGGGAAGTTGGAATATTAGGGTAAGAATGGAGGGGAACAAAGGAAGAAAACTTCAAACTAAGTACTAACCACATTTAGGTTGTGCCGACTGCATTGCATGAGGATGCAAATGTCATTAATTGCTCTATCCACAACTGATTGTTCTGCATTAAAAAACAAAAAGAAAAATTTGAATGCGGATGAAGAAACAAACAGAGTATGAAATCTATCAATTAGACAAGCTGAGAACTCAATGGTCTTAGATAATGTTACCAAAATGTCCAAACTAATGGACTCAGACATACTAATAGACAAGTTGACACTAAGTTTACTATTCCCTGGAAACTTCTAACATAATAATAGTGTGTTGTGTTAAACACTAATTTGTACTGAGTTTGAATTAAGGCACATCAGGCAATTAACACATTACTAAGTATACAAGACAGACAATTAGCACAAGTATAAAACATAAGGAGGTTCACCTGAAAATACTAATGGATGCATGTAATATATATCTCTTTTGGACCCATGTCTGTTTTCTTGCAGAAGTTGCTGAACTATGAGCAGAACCCTTAGCAACACATCTGAAGGAACACAATTTGTACCCCAATGGGGAATCTTCCATTAACAAAACCACAAATTATATAGATATTATACCTCATAAAGCAATCTGCAAAACCCAGCTGTGTAAAATGGAACTTAACTCGCTCACCAATTCTATGCACATGGGTTTCCTTTTGAAATGTGAGAATTTCCTGTCCATTTGACTTATCATAGCTGCAATTGCTGTAAACAGAAATATTAATGCATCAAACATCATCTGGTCCAAAATTATAAAACTTTATACATTCCCAAAAATTCAAAAAAAAAAAAAAACGAAAATGTATTCCTAACCATTCTCCATTAGAATTAGTGCAGTAATTCCTGAAGCGTTGAATGGAAACAAACGGAGATTGTCCCTTGCTCAAATCCTCAACGATAGATCTTGTAAACTCTGAAATCAACAAAAAAATTCAGCAAATCCTAAGAGAAAAATGAAGTGAATAAAAGTGAATTCGTAGTTGGGAAAAAGCATTTCGTGGTTATGAGACCTCTGATCTTCCGAAGCAGATCGCTGGATTGAGAGCTCCACCGATTTTCCTCCATATTTTACAGTTCGCAAATTTGAAATTGGCGCAAGAAAATTTGGGCTCCCCTTTTCTTCACTACTTTTAGGAGCTTTTTATATTTTCTTAGGAAGCTGTGCAATTGGACCGCGCAGACTCTAAAATAAAAGATTATAATTATTAGATGAAGGAGAGGCATAGCGGTTTAACCGACATTTAATAATTAATATAATATATTTAAAAAAAAATACATATTAATTTTAATTTTTAAAA